CTTCGATTCCAGCGTTTTTCCCTTACCTAATCCACACCTGGCAGCAAATGGTACCTGCCTTTCCATAAAAAAAATAATTAAAAAACCATACCTGATCCACATCTGGCAGCAATGATGCATGCCTTTCCACCAAAAAATAATTAAAAAACCAAAAATCTGGAACATGCAGAATAAAATGGATAGAAAAGGGGAAAAAGAAAGAGAGAGAGAAACAAAAGCTGAGCATGGATTGTGAGAGAGGGTATCTATCACCAGAAAACAAATAATTAAAAAACACAACATCATGGCATCTGGAACAGTTCCCCACCACTGTTCATCACGTCTTTCCTTTCTTCCGCACATCGTTCCTCGCAATTCCTCTAATTTTTGCCCACGCGTTCATCGCTCTGCACACCTCCTCTTCAATCATCCTCTCCACGCGTCGATCATCGTCGAAGGGCTCTGCTTCGACTCCTTCTCGACTTTTCCTCTAACTCTCCTTCACTTTGCGGTCTTCTCTCATCTCTCACTCTTTCTCATGCTTTCTTTCTCTACCCAAGAAGCCTTCCATCCATTTCGATCTCTCCCACAAACCCTTATGTTGCTAAAAGTTTGCCTTCCTCGCTCTCCGATCTCGATTTCTCTCACTTTCCTGCTGAAAAAGACCAACCCAGTAGAAATTTCTCCAGTTCTCTCTCTCAAAAACTATAAATCACAGTGGCCAAACTCCAGAAAAATAAAAATAAATAAATAAATGGAATTCGAAAAGCCATTTGCTTTTCCTTGGATTTGGGTTTTCCTTCGATTTCTACACTGTCCAAAACTAGCGGCGTGGATCAAGCTAGGGTTTTCTCTGAGCCGCGATTGTTGCTCTGTCCTCCGCCGTCCGTCACTGTAAGTCCTTTTTTTTTCCAGAATTTTCAATGCATCGTTTTCTCTTCGTGTCTAACTTTTGTGTGTCTCTGTTATAAAATGTTGACACCGAAGGTTTGTTGCTGAAAAATTGCGGCTACAAGTTTTTTCAGATTTTCCAATTTCGTTGCCAAAAAAAAAAAAAAAAAAAACTCCGACGACCAGCGTTTTGTGGTGAGTTTTCCAGTTTTGTCTATGCTCTTTTTTCTAATTTTGGATTTGCAAATGAGTATTCTTTTTTCTTTGTTCCTTCGTGACTTGCATGCTGCTATATAATTTGGTTCTGTTTTTGTTTGTTCTCAAAGTTTGGTGTGTGGGAATCCGTTAGTGCTTCATTTTTGCTCTGTACCAAAAGTTGTTTTCTTCTTTCTTATGGTTGTGAATGTATGTATGTGAACATATAAAACCTTCGTTTGGAGTGAATCGAAAAGCTTACTACGATAAAATTATATTTTGTGGTACTTGAATATTAGCCCATGGTATAATTAGTTTCTACTCAAAGTCTAGAAATCAAAGGACCCCAAATTTGCCAGAAAACGAGTAGAGGTTGGTTGTCCTGCAATCTAACCTCAATAATTATGGTTTTCACTTTATAAATTCTGGATTTTTTTTACTTAATTGTTTGGACTTTGAATTGGCTGATGAGGTTATATTAAGTTTTGAACTTTGATTTTTGTTTTGTGTGATTGCAGAGCAAGGAGAATTGACCCCAGTTAGCTCCAACCTTGCGGTAAACTTTTCTTTTTGTTTAGAGTTTTGAGAATTCTTATAGAAAAAATTAGAAAAACTCATATTATAGTTTTTGGTTTAAATATGTTTTTAATTTGGTCCACCATGTTATGTTTGTTAACAAGAACCTATAAGAGTCTCAAATTCAGTTTCGAACTCTGACTAAAAATGGAACTTGGTGCCTCCTCAGCCCTCAAAATTTAAGTAACCCCATGATTTTTACATTACTGCGTTCGTTTTTCTCTACTAATTATTGTTATATGAATTGTATTCTTCTATTAAAAATGATTAATTACACTGTCCAAAAAAATAAAAAATAAAAAACCTCATGCATTGCAGGTTTGGGATGATAGTTTAAAATCAATATGCTCATTAGCCAGTCTGAGAACCTAATTTGGGAAGTGGGTTTTAAAGTTTCAATAGTTTCGTTATGTGTAATTTTCTTGCTTTGCCTACTAAGAATCTAATAACCAAATGCTTAGTTATTTTCTCCAAATGGTTTTCGATTTGTTGTAGGTAAACGAGGGCTACTCTACTGTTTTATGCAGCAGGGGAAGGGAAGGGAAGTAAAAATTATAAGCAAATGCGTATAAGTTACAAGCTTTTAATTAAAAATAGAAATGGAGTGACAACAAACAAAATATAGGTAAAACTGACCACTACATTCTTTCTATTTAAATATAAATCAATTGATTAAGTTTGTGTCTATACAAGTTTAAAATGAAGTTATGTGTTGATTTTAAAAGAACCATGCATTCTGGATTTTTATAGAAGTGTCATGAAAGTTTTATACCAAACTTTTTACAGGGATTAAGTTCATTTAAGTATGGGTCGTTTTGTATTTGAAATCTGAAAGGAGAAACAGAAATTACAAGAAGAAGAGGAAGATTGCGTTCCGATCATGGCCTTCTCTTCCTGCCTCTTATCCAAATCCTGACAAGTTAGTTACTCAACCTTCACTTCTCATCCGTCTCCTTTTTTTTTTCTGTTTTTTTATATTGTTTGGCTTCTGAGATTTGAGAAAATTAGGACATTTAAAGATTTTGATTTTATTTTAAATTTTCTTAAATTTATTGATTATTAGATGACATAGTTTGTGATATACTGTAATTGATTTGAGTGATTATAATTTTAATTTTTCATGGTTAGAGCGGCATCGCGATGAAATGGGTTTGAATTAACATATTTTGTGCGTTTGAATCCTCAATGAAGTTGTTTACTACAGTAATTGTGTTTGTTTGATAATAGGGATCTTATTGAAAAGCAAGAAGAATTGAATTAGATTATTGCGGGGCTCAGGAAAAACTATGCTTCTTTACAAGAGAAATTTACGAAATAAGAGTTGGATAAGATGGTAAGTAGATGGGTTTGATATTCATTGTGGCTGAATTTAGGTAACTTCTGTACATTATTAAATGTTTGAATATGTCTATCAGGCTGCAATGGAATCTCTCATTATGGAAAGAGAGGCTAGACTTGAAATTGAGCGACGACAAAATTCCCTCTCATATGAGCACAGGAGAGTTCAAAGAGAGCTTTTAAGTGCTACTCAGAAGGTAGGCTCCATGTGCAATTGTTCTTGCTATTTAGGCAATTTCCTGGAACATTGAGTAGAAAAACAAATTAGAATTTTGTTGGTTTTTTCTTTTATGAAGTGTAAGCGTTAATGCATTTCATCCTAATATGCAACTTATATTAGTATCGCATTTTGAAAGGTGAGCATCTCAAGTGAACCAAATTTACCATTTTCCATTTAAATGAATTTTAAGATAACCTCCGGTCCATGTTTGTTTAACAATTTGTTATAATTCATTATATAGTTTTCAAAAAGGTCGTGCATAATTCTTGCTGAACTTGGTTTGGGTTTCTTTTGTTTACGGATGGAGTGAGTTAATCACAGTTCTATCCGGTTAGTCATGTTCCCATTGTTGCATGACTTTTTGAACAGAAAAACAAGGTTTATTATTTCAATTTCCACATCTACTTTTGATTTGGTAGATGTTGATTAATCTGTTAGAGTGCTTTGAACTAGCTATGTTTCTAAGGAAGTAAGGAATCTGAAAGGTTAGAGAGAAATGCAATGTGAAGGAATGCTCTGTTCTTCCTCTCTAAGTCTGAGAGTGATGTTTTATATATTTCACACTCAATACACGCACAAAAGCATGTGTACATAACAACTAGCTTTAGTTGGATATCCACAACCAACAATACAATCTCAGCCTTACACTTGTCATAATCTAAGACTAAGTGAATACACAATTAAAACAAGGCTTATTTACTTTAACTCTACTTAACTCACAGCTTATACACTAATACTCCCCTTTAAGCTTTGAGCTGATACAACTCCAAGCTTATCTCTGAGATAGTTGAATCTCTCTTTTGGTAAGGCCTTGGTAAAAATGTCTGCCACTTGTTCTTTGGTTGGACAGTATACCAAGTCAAAAATTCCCTGCTGCAAAGCATCCTTTATGAAGTGATATCTTCTGTCAATGTGCTTAGTCCTTTGGTGAAACACTGGATTTTTAGTTATTGAAATTGCAGAGGTATTGTCACACTGCAAAGGAGTTGCTTCAGCTTGTAACTCTCCAAAATCTTCAAGAACAAACCTGATCCATATAGCTTGAGATGTTGCTTCGGCAGCACTAATATATTCAGCCTCTGCTATGGATAGTGCAACACAATTTTGTTTCACAGAAGCCCATGAAAACACTCCACTGCCAAATGAAAAAGCATAGCCTGAGGTACTCTTGCTGTCATCTATTGATCCTCCCCAATCACTATCACAGAAACCAACTAAAACTGCCTTCTTGCCTTTCACATAATGCAAACCATAATCTAGTGTTCCTTTGATATATCTGAGCACTCTCTTAGCTATCCCATAGTGCTTGTTAGAAGGACCATGCATATATCTAGCTAACAAACTAGCTGCATACATCACATCTGGTCTTGTAGCAGTAAGATACAATAAACTGCCTACAAGCTTTTCTATATTTCTCTTCATCTGCTGCACCACTGCCATCTTCTTTACTCAACTTTTCAGTAGCCACAAGAGGTATAGAGACAGATTTACATTCTTTCAGTCCAAACTTATCCAACAGGGAAGAGGCATACTTCTTTTGATGAATGAAGATGCTAGATTCTGTTTGAATTACTCCCATCCCCAGAAAATGGTGAAGAAGGCCCAAGTCTGACATCTCATACTTCTCCTTCATATCTTCTTTGAACTCATCCAACATGTCTTGATTGTTTCCAGTATACACAATATTATCCACATATATGGAGACTATTAGTATATCCTTTTCTCCCCTTGTCTTAGTGTAGAGAGTTGCTTCACTTAAGCTTTTCTCAAACCCACACTTAGCAAAATAACTGTCAATCTCTCCATACCAGGCCCTAGGTGCCTGTTTCAAGCCATAAAGAGCCTTGTGCAGTTTGTAAACTTTGTCTTCCTTGCCATTAATCACAAACCCTTCAGGTTGATCAACATATACTTCTTCCTGCAATATTCCATTTAAGAAAGCAGACTTAACATCTAATTGAAATATCTTCCAGTTTCTGTGTGCAGCAAGTGCAATCAGTGTTCTGATGGTGTCCAATCTGGCAACTGGAGCAAAAGTCTTATTGTAATCGAGTCCTGGTTTCTGCACATACCCCTTGGCAACCAATCTGGCCTTGTTCTTTTGTACTGAACCATCTAGATTCAGTTTGGTTTTGAACACCCATTTAACTCCAATCACCTGCTTATCACTTGGTCTGTCAACAATCTCCCAAGTTCCATTCTTCTCAATCATTTGCAGTTCTTCTTCCATTGCCTTTATCCAAGCCTGATCTTGTGCAGCTTCTTCATATTTCTCAGGTTCCACAATGCAAATGTTGCACTGTGTCATAATGTCATTTATGCTTCTCCATTTCACTGGAGTATGATCATAAGACTGAGGGATCTCATCAGATTCTTGAATGCTGCTTTCTTGTTCTTCAGTATGAAAAGAAGAACTAGGACTGAGAGAACTTCCTTCAATCACACTCATCTCATATGGATTCTCACAAACTACATTCTCAGGTTGATCCTGAATGTAAGTTGCAGTAGCTGAACTTTGTGAACTTTCTTTCCAATTCCAGGTCATAGATTCATCAAAAACCACATCTCTTGACAAGATTAACTTGTTGGTACATGGATCAAATATTCTGTATCCCTTCTCACATGTAGCATAACCCACAAATACACCTTTAACACTCTTAGCATCTAGCTTCTGTCTTGTCTCAGTAGGTATATGAACATAGCACAGGGAACCAAAAATCTTGAGATGTGCAAGACCTGGTTTTCTGCCACTATAGGCTTCAAAATGGGTTGTATTTCCTAGTGCCTTTGTAGGACACCTATTTAGAATATATACAGCTGTGTGTATAGCTTCAGCCCAAAGAACATATGGCATACCTCTATCATGAAGCATAGTCTTTGCCATTTCAACCACAGTTCAATTTTTTCTCTCCACTACTCCATTCTGTTGAGGAGTATAAGCCATGGTGAGTTGCCTTTGAATGCCCTCAGTTTCACAGAATTTAGTGAACTCAGAAGATAAAAATTTTCCACCCCTGTCACTCCTTAGATTTTTAATTTTGAAACCACTCTGCAGCTCCACCATTGACTTGAATTTTTTGAAGTAATTGAATGCATCAGATTTGTATCTGAGAAAAATACACCCAGATCATCCTTGTACAGTCATCAATGAATAGCATGAAAAATTTGTTTCCAGCCAATGATGCATTCTGCATAGGACCACAGATATCAACATGTATAAGTTCCAGAGGACAGCTTGTTCTCCAGGCTTGATCTTTTGGAAACCATTCTCTGTGCTGTTTTCCAAATTGACATCCTTGACATACATCCTTGGTTGCTTCTAGGTATGGAAGACCATGCACCATATTCTTCTCACTGAGTTGCTGAAGCCCTCTGAGATTCAAGTGGCCTAGTCTTCTGTGCCAAAACTGAGTAGAATGCTCCAAACTAGCCTTCAAAACTAACTGATTATTTTTTACCAGAGAAAGAGGATAGCATCGATTTTCCTTCTTCTTAACCTTGATGATAAGGTTTTCAAGTGAAGGTCCATCATATATGCTGCACAAACCTCCTCCAAACACTAGATAATATCCATGCTCATCCATTTGTCCAACACTCAATAAGTTTTCTTTTAAACCTGGCAGATGCATGACTTCCCTGATATACATTTTACCTCTGTTAGTGTCAATCTGCAATGAACCCATTCCAGCCACATTTACTAACACACCAGTAGGCATTTGCACCTTTCCAGCAACATTTGTATTTATGTCAACAAGGAGATCAGCATTCCCTGTCATGTGATTACTACAACCACTGTCAACATACCAATTTCCATTGATATTTGTTTCTGAGATTGCACTATTAGCATAGAACAGATTTCCTGACACTTCCACCTGATTTACAGAGTTTGCCTTTTGCACAATCTTCCCTACAGTGCATTCTCTAACCCAATGACCAAACTTATCACAATTATAACACTTAGGCTTCCCCTTATATCGACATTCACCAAAATGATACTTAGAACACACTCTACACTGTGGTTTGACAGTCTCTTGACTCATTGACTGTGACTGATATGGATTTGGTGCAGGACAAGTGAAAGGTTTCTGTTGGAATCGAGGTTTCGAATCCCATTTCTTTCCCTTAGCATTCCAATTCTTCTGGAATTTTGATGAGCCAGATTGAACTCCACTTCTATTTTGCCCATTTGGACTTACTGAGAATGATGCAAAAGCCTTCTCAATGGTATCAACATTATGCAAGTCAAATCGTTGTTCCTGACTCTTCAAAATCGCAACAACTTCTTGCAGCTCAACAGACTCTAGACACTTTGTGTTTTCTATAATTAAACAGATGGAATCATAAGGCTTACTTAGACTAATCAGAACCTTCTGCACAAGTCTCTCATTAGAAAAGGGATTCACCAAATGTTCTCATCTAATTAATTAACTCATTCAATCTTGTAAGATAACTAGACAAAGATTCATCATCCCGCATTCTAGCATACTCAAATTCTCTTCTAAGATTCTGAAGTTTTTACGGATCTAACCTGATCACCACCATGGTATTCTCCATACAGTAGATCCCATGCCATCTTGGCTGATTCAGCATTGGCAATCCGAGGAAATATTTGATCCGAGACCGCATTCTGGATAATAACCAGAGCTTTTGCATCTTGCATATATGCTGCGACCATTTTCTCATCGTCTCTCTTCTTCCTCTGAGCTTCCTTCAACCTTCTTCTTCTTTGTTTCTGAGATCGTAATCCCCTTTTCAACTAATTTCCATAGCCCGTGAGATTTGAAGATCGTCACCATCTTGATTCTCCAGAACTCGTAGTTCTCACCGGAGAAGATCGGAGTTCTCACCTCAGAACTTCCAGATCCAGCCATCTCTTAGCTTAGACGAGACGAACACAAATCGAAATCGGATTCTATGGAATTTCGGCGACTTCGCCTGAACCGGAACGAGCTCGAGTGTAGCTCGATTGCTTCACAGTTTACTCCCAGATCTCAAATGATCGAACAAGGCTCTGAGGCCATGTTAGAGTGCTTTGAACTAGCTATGTTTCTAAGGAAGTAAGGAATTTGAAAGGTTAGAGAGAAATGCAATGTGAAGGAATGCTCTGTTCTTCCTCTCTAAGTCTGAGAGTGATGTTTTTTTATATATCTCACACTCAATACACGCACAAAAGCATGTGTACTTACATAACAACTAGCCTTAGTTGGATATCCACAACCAACAATACAATCTCAGCCTTACACTTGTCATAATCTAAGACTAAGTGAATACACAATTAAAACAAGGCTTATTTACTTTAACTCTACTTAGCTCACAGCTTATACACTAATATAATCTCATCTGTACCTGTTACTATTTTGTGGCTATATATGATTTATTTGACTTCCCAATTCTATATAATTAGTACCATTGAAATACATTTGGCATACGTTAATTCTGCCTTTCTACAATTTCTATAATTTCTCATTGCTGCTTAAGTGGAACAAAATTAACTCAAACATTGCTTACGAAGAGAATGAAGTTGCATAATCTTTCATGAAATTTTCAATCCCGCAGCAATGCGCGGGCACAAATATCTAGTATTATCTATATACTAAAACCCGGGGGAAAAGCACTGTTCACGAGCAGTGTTTTGGCGGAACTGTCCTTGAGCTGCTGCCCATTCACAGCTATTTTTTCCGTTTTTGTACAGTGAAGTTACAATTGTACCCTTTGTATACACGTGTCGGTCATCGTGGAAAAGAAACCTGCTTCTATGGGATCTCGACGCGTTGATGTGGTTCTAGAAATTCTGGTGCTTCTGGACTCTTCGTTCCATTTCGAAGCCAAGCTCTCAGACGTCTGCTTCTTTCTAAAAAAACTCTAGCCCCTCTGCTTCCCTAACACACCTCCCGCAAACGTCTCTATATGTGTGTCTTCTGCGATTAACACTTTTGAAACAAGAAATTAAATCGATCTCCAAAAGTTCAACCCCCAAACTGGATCCAGATCCATCACCATCTCGCGGTGCCTTGCTCAGATCGGCTCTGCACTCATCATCGATGACTCTGCCTTCACGGAGGACTCCGCAAATCCCATCGCCGATAAAGTTAAAGCACGGCCACCTCTCCCTTTCTTTGTTTTCATGGCCGAATGTCAAATCAAGCGACTTTGACTCTCATGCATGTGTGTATTTTGTAAAGATGCTTCTCAATCTGTTGTCTGGACTAAAGAAAATGAGGATGGGGCTCTCGAGAATTTCAAATCCCAAAAAAGAGAAAGGTATAAATTTTGTTTAGTTTCTTTGTATCTATAAGAATAATTTTTATTTTAGGTTACTTCAAAACTGCTGGAGTTTGGATTTCATATGTTTTTTCAGGCGATTTATTTGTTAGATTTTATGGATATTTAGGTATGAATTGGCAGAAGATTGTGCAGACGATGATGAAGCAAAGTAGCTGATTTATAATAAGTGACTTTTTTTTTGTTCTTTATTGTACTATAGATTCGAATTTATCATTATAATTTTTTTTTTAATTTTTTTGTGCAGTTATATGGTCCGGTTTTTTTCAAAGTGTATGAAAATCATTTGAATGCTGAGAACCTATTATATTCGCGAAGTCCAGGCGATGCTGCTTTACATGATACAAGAGATCGACACCTTCATCCATATGTAAGTTTCTCTAATAAATACTTTGAACAAATGCTTTATGAATTTGAGTTTTTATCTTCTGATTATTTTTTATGCAAATGTGGTATTAATTTTCCTTTGACTAGAAATTTAGAGGTTTCTTAAGGTACAATGTTATCAAACTAAATTTTTCTAATTTTCTGATTTTGGGGTATTGCAGGGAGTGCTAATATACAGATTTTCTGGGATTTTTTGTTTTTGAATGGGTATGTGTTGTTTTTAACGTTTCGGTTCTCACGTGTTTTGTTCTTTTATCTGTTGTTTGCCTACTTTTGTGTTGCTTCTTAATTTTCATTTTTCAATGTTGGGTGATGGAAATTTGTAAAAATAGTTGTAGTTTTCTGAGAAAGTTGTGGATTTTAGTTATATTTTCTGTGTAATCCTAACTGTAAGACTGAAAAATAATTGAAAATTGATGGTTTTTATTTTCACTTTCTCTTAAATGTTTTTTCTTGAATTTAAAAGCATCTTTCCGATTGGTTACTATGGTTCTGCTCTCTCTAATTAGTTATTTCGTATTCTCTCCAACCTTTTTGTCTAATTTTATTTTTCATTTTTTTGGTGGCTTTCTGCAGAAGTTAGCATGAGGTTTTCACATGACATGGATGATGAGTAGAGAAACTCATCTAGAGAATGAACCTACCAAGGTATATGCAAAAATTGTCCTTTGGGTTCATATGGAAGTATGAATTTTCTTTTAGCGTATAACTTTGACGCAATAATTTATCTCATGGATTATAAGATATCTTATGGATTTTACCCTACTTGGCAGACAACGCCTGATTTTACTTTAAAGGAGCTGAGATCAGCATGTCACAACAGTCTCACAAGCAAATGCCCCCAAACTGTATACATCACAGTAGGCAAGTTTCAATCTTTTTAGCTTCCAATTAATATTTCGTGCTGATATTTGATTGCATTGTGTTTGGGTGTTTGGTTTCGGGATTTCTCAAGTTGAATTGCAACGTGCGTGGGTAATGAGAAGAAAAAAATGGATTTGGTCTCTGGTTACAAGGTGACTTCACCTCTCACTCTCTCTAAAACTCAATTTTGAAGTAGTTGTCCATATATATATATTTTTTTTTGGATCACCATCACCATGGGTCATCTGAATATCAGCCTTTTATTTTGTCTTATAGTTTTATCATCGTACATCGTTGGTTGATTGTTTTTGTTTTCTGTGTAAGGTACTCTCTGCAATTTATTGCAAAATAATGTCAATTTTTGCTTCTTTGGAAACAACTAGGAGCCAATCTGGTATCCAAACTTTATGTTTGCTGCATGTAGCACTTGAAAAGATTAAGAATATTCTCTAGCATTGCTCAGAATGTAGTCAACTTTATTTGATAGGTATTCCCTCAATTTGCATTTGTAATTTATGCAGTAGTGCTACTTCCAACTTTTCAAGTCAAAAATTATTTCCCCCTCTACTCTGGAGGAATAAATTTCTGTTTTGGTTTTGGTGTTTAAATTTGTTTCATTCATGATGAGTTTGTATATATAAATTATACTGTGTCTATAATGGGCAAATTATTTGTTATCATTTAGGCTACAATGGAATCGCAAATTTGTCAAGTATATTTTAGATTCTTGGTTGCATATTCACCTACTCACCACTATTGTTTTTTCTGTCTATTGATTGGATGGACTTTTATAATTTCCAAACCTACAGTTGCAATGCTTTTGACATGTTAAATTGGAGTTGCATCTCTCTTTTTTTGTTCATGAAATTCATTATCTTTACTAGCTTGGGAATTAACTAATACATTTTTATTCGCTTGCGTGATGTCAATGGGTCTTGAAATTGTTGCTGCAAGCTTTAATTCATCAGTATCTAGATAATTGTACCTATTTGTTGGTCGAATGCTGATGTGAGTAATAATTTTAAATTTTACATCTTGAAGATTAATCATAAGTTGTGTTTAATCTGTGATGTTTATGATGCCTTTAGATTTCCACATTTGTTTGGTTTTGTTTATGTAGTTTCATGGGTGGGTGATACGATTACAGAGTTATTATAGGAAGTTGCTGAATTTCATGCGCACAATTAAGGTTGGATTCTTTCTCACACACCACTCCCATTTTCTTGATTGTTGACCGGTTTTTGTGAGTATGGTTATTTCTATATCAGTTTGTTGAAATTGGCAAACGTGGCAAGGTTAAGTATGAGCTCGACAAGAAAACTGGCCTTATAGTAGTAAGATTCTTCTTTTTCTTCACTTACAGGTTGCAGTCTAATTTTTGTTGAAATGCAACTTAATTGATGATTATCCTACTAGATGAATTATAACTGAATTGATTTTAAATTTTGTTTCAGCAACTTAGTTGATATGGAAATTG